GGCAGATTACTGTGGCATCACAGCTCACAGCAACCTCCAACTCCTGGGCTCAAGCGAGTCTCCTGCCTTAGCCTCCCAAGTAGCTGGGACCAGAGGTGCCTGCCACAATGCCCAGCTATTTTTTGGTTGGAGCTGTCGTTGTTGTTTGGTGGGCCCGGGCTAGATTGGAACCTGCCAGCTCAGGTGTATGTGGCTGGCACCTTAGCGGCTTGAGCCACAGGCACTGAGCCGTATTTAGTTAGTTTTTAGAGATGGATTCTTATTCTGTCACTCAGGCCGTGGCCAGATCATAGCTCACTACAGCCTTGAACTCCTGGCCACATGGGATCCCTCCTGCCTTAGCTTCTAAAAACAGCTGGGTCATACAGTTATGTGCCACCAATCTTGGGTAATTTTTTTCATTTCCTTTTTGATTTAATGTCTCACTATGCCCAGGTTAGTCTGGAACTCCTGGTTGCAAGTGATTCTCCCCTTTTCAGCCTCCCATGTAGTTGGGATTTCAGGCATGAGCAACTGTGCTTGGGCCTTCTTCATCTGTGAACCCCACTAAAATGATATAAAAGGAATAAAAGAGTAAAACCCATCAGAGAATATGATGACTAGGAGAAAACAGCAGACCAGAGGTGGCAACAAAAACTTGGAAGGTGAAAAGCACATGGACAAATGCAGACTCTGGAAAAGTAAAGCCAAAGCCTGCAAAGGAGAGGGGTAGAAGCCCATTCCTACCACAGAACCCAAGAAAGCTTCAAAAGTTAGAAATAGCAAATGCTCTTACGAGCAGAGCAGTAGTGTGAGACTGAATGTAGATGGCCTGATGAAATGGATTTAAAGCAATAAGTTAGGCTCCCCAGGCCCAAATTCCTTTGCAGCCCTGTACTCCTGGCTGCTTCCTCCACTCCCATTCTGGTTGGAGACAAAAAGTTTATAAAAGATTTATTCTTTTTTTTTTTAAATATATCTCCAGCCTGTTTTTTTTGTATTGTACCTTGCATTCATTTATTTACTATTATTTAAAATGCTTTTTACTTTTCAGAAATACATAGTCTCCAAACCACTTCTCATTTCCTTTTATTTCATTTTATTTTAGTTTTATTGTTTGAGATTCATTGAGAGTATAAAGAATTAGGTTATACTGATTGTGGTTGTTAGGTAAAAGTCTCTCTTGTAAATGTGTTCCGCCCCTCCCCAAGAGGTGTGCTATACACCCTGACCCACCAATCCCTTCATGCCTCCTTTCTCCCTAATTCCTCATTCCCCTTCCCCATCCCTTGTATTAGCTCATCTCCTGCCTTCAAATTAGAACTGAGTACATTGGATTCTTGTTTCTCCATTCTTGTGATGCTTTACTGTGAAAAATATGTTCCACTTCTATCCAGGTTAATATAACTGCTGGTGGGACTACAAACTAATATAACCTTTTTGGAAAGAAGTATTGAGAATCCTCAAAGAACTCAAATTAGACCTCCCATTTGATCCTGCAATCCTATTACTAGGCATCTACACAGAAGCAAAAAATGCTTTTCTCATAAGGAAATTTGCACTAGACTGTTTATCACAGCTCAATTTATAATCGTCAAAATGTAGAAACAGCCGAAATGCCCAGTGACCCAGGAATGGATTAACAAGCTGTGGTATATGTATACCATGGAATACTATTCAGCCACTAAAAAAGATGGAGACTTTACAAAAGGTTTATTCTTTGCAGAGGCTTAACCCTTAGAGTCTAGGCTCAGGGACATCACACTCAGGTAAGGACAGAGGAGAAATGCCTTTTAATGAAAATAGAGGAAATAAGAGAAAGCCCGCATATGGAACAGTGAGCAACCAGTTGCCTCTCCATACTCAGCTCCCAGAAACTGGCAGCCAAGCTTGTACCATGATATAGACTGGAGCTGTAAGACAGAAAACTCACTCTAAGAACAGTACCTCCCAGAGGAACATGAGCCTGATAGCATGCTGATATATATTTGTGTATTCAGAGAAAGCTTTCAATTCTTTTAAAAATTTAGGGATAAATTAATTATAAATAGGTAGAAAATGAAACAACTGTAAAAACAAGCCAATTAATGAACTCCAAAAATTACCAAAAAAAAAAGCCATACAAGGAAAGAAAGGTATCATAATAATGTGGGTAGCTCACCTATAAATAATGTCACATAGTCATCATGATGAAGCCCTGTACTAATTTAACCAAATACAGTGTATGCATTGGGTGGATAAGACCATTTAGAACAGCTAATTTCTCTTCTTAAAATAGAAAGTTAGGAGTTACTAGCTAAACCTGAATTTTAGAAAAATAGCAGTGTGAGCATATAATTTAGATATGTGAAGGCAAACACCAGAAAAAAAAGAGCAAGGCTGCATGTCGTTTGTTTTGGGGGAGTAGGTATTAGGAGGTGAAGAGGATGGGGCAGGGAATTGGTCTTTTCGTTATAAGCCTTGTACTTATACTTGACTTTTCAAGTAGGTATATTTATTACATACATTAAAAAATAATTCTTAAAAAATTATGTTCAACTAACCTTTGGTATTTCCTACTTTGAAAATTGGATGAGTATGAAAAAGATTACTACTTTTTTGTCCTCAGAGCTTGAACCTTACTTTTGTTCAGTAGACATGGGAAAGAGGGTGCATTAGGACCTCTAGGCCCTTGTAAACTCCCTAGTATATGAAGTTCTTAGGCAATTCATGTAGATAGTGTAAACTGTATTTAAAATTGGATTGGGTGTGTTTATTTCCTGTAATATGACTGTTTTTACTTTTAATATTGCACAACATTCACATACGTGGTAATTTTGAACAATCAATGGAGAGCAAATATGGCTTGAAGTAACCAAAAATTGAAAGCTACCTTAAGTAATGATATCTTGACTCAGGAGAGAACTTCATTTGTCCCATGATGGACCATCATGCCATCTCCCAGTACAGACTGTACTCGCTTGCTTATCTGAATTTCTCCTTGGATTCCAACTTGGATTTCCCTGTCTTTGCTTAATTCTTAGTGTTTAATTAGAAATTCAAGTTACCAGTTCTTGCAGGCATCCCTAGTAGTATCTCTAAAATTCTAGACTATACTGATTTCTTCCTTCTTGGTGAATCCCACTGCTAATTCTTTTCAGTTTCTCATACCTGTCTCTATCCAGTCTCTGCAGTATATTCAGTGTAATGCATTCCAATAATGAATTATACTTGACTCATTAAGAAACTCAGGTTTAATTTGAAATACAAGAAGTTAGTGACCATCCATATGATATGATAGTCTTGCTTACTAGTAGATTTGAGCACAGGGCTGATTCTTGTATTCTAACTAATTCAACTCTAGTAGACACTATCTCCCTTTCATTGTTCATTCTTCATGTTGCTTCCTTTACCCTCCAGGCATAAAAATTTTTTATCATTTTGGTGCCAGATGTAGTAAAATGGCCAACAGAAGTAATTTGTCTTGGGTATTTCTTTATCTTGTTTATTCTGCTCCCTTTCTCTCATTTGGGAGATAGACCTTTTCTCATAATCTTAAACTTCATCCTGCCCTCTCCCTTCACTCCTGTAGACATTCCCAATATTGTTACTTCACACATGGGAAAGCTCCTCCTCCTATACCTAACAGAACTTAACTGTCTGGATTTCCATCCAGCTTGGGCTAAGTTCTCTTCCACGGAATTGAAACCGAAAACCTAATTCAAATGGTAAGGGTTGAGATTCCATTAATGTAATTCCTCTCCCAGGTTATAGCTGCATTTCAATGAGCTCCTTCTCTCTGCATTACCCAAAAAAGAGGCATAGAAGGTGTGTGTGTGTGTGTGTGTGTAGGAGAAGATATTGAATAGTGAATAATAGATGGCAGAGGAGGACAGGGGATGGAAAATATTGCTGATGCTTTTCATTTTTCTCCATGTTTACGAAGTAGGAAATATCCCCCTTAGTTCTTTATGGAATTTAGACTTAATTTTAATATTTGAATTTGGCTTGGAAGCGATGCATATCTAGTGAACACCATTTATTATTATTCAAAGAAAGTATTACCGCTTTGGTAACTTGTATTTCCTTAAGGCTTCCTTTCTTTCACATTTCTAATAATTTTGAACTCTCTCTGCTATGCCCTTTTACTCTATGTAAAATTGGTATGACATTTCAGCCAACAAAAACAGAAAATGATTTTAATTAATTAATTAATTAATTTTGGGTGGAAGCAGAGTACACTTCTCTGAAATACTTATTTTTGGTTGATAATTTTTTTTTTTGAGACAGAGGCTTATTATGTCACCCTTGGTAGAGTGCTATGGCGTCACAGCTCACAGCAACCTCAAACTCTTGGGCTTAAGCAATTCTCTTGCCTCAGCCTCCCAAGCAGCTGGGACTACAGGTGCCTGGGCCACAGCGTCCAGCTATTTTTTGTTGTTGTTGCAGTTGTCATTGTTGCTTAGCAGGCCTGGGCCTGGTTTGAACCTGCCACCCTCGGTACATGTGGCTGGTGCCATAACCACTGTGTTATGGGCGCTGAGCTTGGTTGATAATTTTTGATGTTAACTTGAGCATTATGGTTTCCAATCCGGTTGTGAATGATACAGGATTCCTATGCTTTAGGGGGAAGATTTTAGAAGGATTAAGTGTGAATAACTCTTCATTCATTGGTTTTCTATTCTAACATGAGCTCTTTGCTTA